GAACCTGGAATCGAACCCGGGGGAGCCCAAACTATTACATTTGCCAACGGAAATACACTACAGAAAGGCAAAGCACAGCCCCAGACAGAACCCCCTGGGAAACAGCCAAAACAGACCAAAAACCGAGGGACAAAGTGTGGGAGCAAGCATAAACAGACAGGGACAATGAACCCAAACCCTCGGGCCCAGACCCAAAACAGACAGAAAACGGAAAAACCTGTGTAAAAACCAACACCCAAGCATTCCCAGAGGAACAGAAGATGGGCAGAAAACACCAGAAAAGCAAAGAAACCCCTGAAAGAGGTGAAAAACTCACCCAAGACGCTAGCTCACACACACCCCAGGCGCATATAAACAAACCGCAACACTGCCCTGGTGGCCACGCCGGGAAACCGGCAGAAGAAAATGGCCACCAGAAACAGGGGGCCGTGACTGACGCAATAGATACGAAAACACGCCAGCAACTGTGGGAAGCAAGCAGACTAGATGGACGATAAACTCCGCTCAGAAGCAGAAAACCCCGGTAGGGGTAAACAGCCCCAGAACTGCTAGCAGGCATCCCCCACAGTCCCAGGAACCCGCAACAGAGGCCCTGGGGCAGAGCCGTCCTCCACGTCCTATGCCCGTAAAGAAAAAGAAGAGTCCAGGGGAAAGACAGCAAGAAAGGGCCGCTGGTAAGACCCAGAAGCCTTGGCAGGAGGAACAGGCTTGAAAACCTCCGTCCCCAACCCGAACGGGGCAGCCCCCGAAACCGCCAGAGTCTCGGCCCCAACTAAACCCCGCCCCGACCCCGAAACTTGCAGAAGGTCAGGAGCAGGGAACAGGGAGGGAAAGGGGCGAACAGCACCTAACCAAAATGGGGTAGCCCCGGGGCATCTGAGTGGGAAACCAACCTAGCGCGTTGCAGCAACCTAAACCAAGCTTGCAACGTGAATGCCGCCTGTACTTTGAACAGTACAGTAATAACATCAAGAGAGTACTGGAGAACAAGCCGAGAACACAACTCGCAAGACTCCGGGTCAAGGTGTCAGTGACCCAACAGGCAGCATGATGGAGGTAAAAGTGGCGACTGTCACCTGGAGACAAGGGCACAGCAACCAACAAACCCACACAAGACTGGTTAGAACCCGGAAGACACATTCGATGGTCCACAGAGCCCCGACAGCGTTTTCCAGGGCCCGTAGGGTAACAACTACGGGAAGCCTGGGCAAGGTGTTTCTAACCGTTTAAAAACCCAAAACTAACAAGGGGTAGAGGACAACACTGAAAACCCCTGCGACGTGTACAATCATGGGGGCCTAGCAGGGGGCCACCAAACACTACTAGTGGAAGTATAGCTACACTAAGTAGACCCCCACCAGGCAAATGAAAATAGAAACAAAAGAAAACCCCCACAAAAGTACACCGTCTCCAGAGACAACAGGAACCGGTCGCCGCTTAGGTGGCAGGTCGAGCAACACCTTGACGCCCTAACCAGCACAATACCAGTCCCTACCCAGGGCCAAACAAGGGCACTAAGCCCCAGCTGGCTCTAAGGGTGAGGCAAATACCGAGCAGCAAGAACCTCTTCGGGAATAGTTCCCGAATGCCCTAGGGACGATAACCCTTTCACGCAGGGGCAGTACTCACAGGGCGCTTTGGGAAGGAAGCCCCTAAGCGCATGCAGGCCCCGTACTGATGAGGAACACCTGGCCACCACACAACACAACATATGATAGTGAACGCCACGAAAGGCAAACACCGCCTAGGAAACTGAGGCCAGAGAAGCGTCTGTCCCGGTTGACATTAGCTTACGAACTGATGCTAGGCAGCCGGCATGGTGAGGTCCGGGACCCCCCCTCCCCATCTCGGGGCAGGGAGGGCTGCACGGATGAGCGGCACAGCAGTAAAGTGTGATGTTTGCTTGTTTGCTTGTTTCCTTGGGATTGTAGGGAGTTTCTACCTCTCTGTTCGTTTTTTTGTTTTAGTTTCTTACCATGTGTTGTTTGTTTTCTATGCCTACCTTTCTGGGTGCCTAACCCCGATCGATGTTAGATAAGGAAAAACCCCAACCATGAGGGGGTTTTCCAGGGTCATTGCTCCCTGAAACCTCTCTGAAGGTGCCAGGTTCTAGCGCTGGTCCCTGGTAGGTCTGAACTCCATAGCTAATGTCCCAGTCTAATATAACATACATTAGCCCGATAAGCTCCAGGGTGCCTCCGGGGCTCACCCAGAAAATGGCATTTTATTACATTCAACACTGGTTTTTAAAGGACAAAAAAAAAAAATTATAATTTTTTTCTTGCACACAGGGTTACCTTGAGGTTACCTTGAGCTGATTCCGGGGCTAAGCGACCCCGCGGCCCGGTCCTCCACCAGGCCTCCTGGTTGCTGGACTGATCAACCAGGCTGTTGGAGGCGGCTTCTCGCAGCCTGACGTATCAATCACAGCCTGGTTGATCAGGTATCCTTTGGAGGTGCTTATCAAGTTCACTGTGAGGGGTCGGCGGGTGTAAATCTCCTCAGGATTTCTTAGCAGTTTAATGGTTAACCACTGAACTGCGCAACGCGTTTGCAGCCGTTCGACAGGGGGTGTGCAATGTGCCTCTGGGATCTTATATTTTTAGCGTATGATTCAAAACTCCCGCGGCTACATGGGGGTTCACATCAGCTTCCTCAGGGACTCTTGTAAACAGACACCATTTACAAAAAAAAAAACGTGGGCAACATTGCCAGGTATGAGAGCCTCAGTACTGAGTGGGAAACCAAAGATGGCGCACGCAGCATGAGCTCACAGCACTGCTGTTTAGCTTGTGACCACAACATTGCCTAATAATGTCAAAATATATATATAACTGGTATTATTTAGTCATGATGACAATATTACAGAAGAGCCTGAGTGTGATAATGACTGTGTACAATGTTCATATATCAGTGAATCAATGCTGTTCACGATGTTCATAGCACTAGCCACAGCACCACAGCATTATTTCGTTCATCTAGGAATCTTCAAACGACTTCTTATGTTACTTTACAAAATAAACTTGTGGTCAAGTATTCATTTACAGGATTTAGTGACCAGGAGTGTGATAATAGCAGGACTGTGGTGATATTTAGCGCTATGCGTATTATTGTGGGGGGGGGGGGAGGAAGTTTGGTGAGGGAGGGAGGGAATCCAGGTAGTGTTACTGTGTGTGGCAGCCACTCTTGTTTTGCTCACCATACTAGCTTAGTGGTTCGCTATGGTACACAAATATGTACATGGATATATACAATGAGTGTATATACCCATGTACATATGTACGTAGTATTGTGGGAGGACGAAGTTTGGTGAGGGAGGGAGGGAATCCAGGTAGCATCACTGTGTGTGGCAGCCACTCTTGTTTTGCTCACCATACTAGCATAGTGGTTTGCTATGGTGAACACATATGTACATGGGTATATACAATGTGTGTATATAGTGTAATACTGTAACAGCAACAGGAGTATGTTGTGAGGAGTCAATTTAGTGAGGGAGGTGGCGTTGTAATCGTAGCGTTGTCTGCTGGCTGCTGTGTGATTTCTCATGCAGTGTATGGTGGCCACTCTGCTGTTTGGACACAATACTGGCTTACTTGCATAGTTATGGTGATTAAAACATGTAGATACGTATACATAATGTGTGTAAATAGTGTAATAAAAATAATAACAGTATGGTGTGAGGAGAAATGTTGGCGAATAAGGTGTAAGGAGTAAGCCAGGTGTTGGAAGAGTGAGGTAGGGCTGGTTGGGTGTGGCAGCTCACACTCACGGAGTTCTGAGTGTGTTGATGGTGAATGTATATAGTGTGTGATAGTGTATAGTGTGTAAATATGTTGTAAATATACATAAATGAATATGAAACATTAGATATATGAGTAATATATGAGGACACATTTAACACAGTGTCTTAGGACAGTAAGGATGTTCTACTGCCATAATATTGTGTACGTGTTCATTATACATAGGATTGGCAAGAAAAAACAAAACGAATGTATTTGGAAATGTACACAAAAAAATGAACAAAAAAATATTTGTGGCAACTCGCGCATGTTGAAGGTGGCGGGCGACTGGCTTTGAGAGTCTACATCACAGGCGACCACCAAATCGTAAACATCACATGCCATTTTCCGAACCCCAGGCCAAAGTAAGTACAATTTTGATTTTTTTTTTACACATCTGTGATCAGGGAAGGGTATTTAACATTTAAAAAAAAAAAGTTCCAAAGAATTTATTTCCTGCACACAGGAGGGGTGCCATATTTGGAAGGTGAGCGGCACAGTGGTTAAGGGAAAATAGTGGTAGCAACCTTTGTGACCTTTTAAAGAGGTGGTTTAGATTAGTATCATCCAATTTATTCATTATTTTAAAAGTGTCTACGAGATCTGCTCTGTCATGCTCATCTTGTCCTTATATCAAGATATATATTAGATGTATCCTTAAGTTAAGTTGGAATTTTTTACTTATACCTGTTATGTTAATCTCAAAAACTTGGTAAATTATTCTGCTACATTCATTTATTTTTCTAAGATTAGAACCATGTATCACTCAACTCATTTTCAATTTCTTCACTGAGCATCCTCACATAAGATTGTGAAATTCAATGCATAATATTTAAAGTATCTGATGTCTTTTATTCTTCCATTATAATGTTGAAATTTTCACTCACACACAGTTTTTCACTCACTTTCAAATCACAACAACATCTGCAGATGATGAGTCACAATAATCTGGCTGAAGAAATGATGTCCAAACCACACACCATTACATCCACCTACCTCCTCCTTGCATTCCTTTCCTCCTGTCCTCAAATTTGCTGAGATATATTTTCTTCACCACCATCATCATTAATTTGCTACACATGACCATATAACCACAGCAAACCAAATACATACTCTCTAAATATTTGTACTAATTTTATCTTATTTTGTTACTTTTAAATTATTTCACATAAGTCAGATAGAATATATAAATGAGAGAATATTACTGAATCTTTATCTTACCTGAGGGCAGGCATCTTGGCCAATAGAAAGGCATAGACAGTGACATCCCCTTTGACTGGAAACCTGTGTGTCTTATCCAGCTCTAGGCACAATGATCGTCCTACAGCTTCATTGAGCTTGGCAATCTCCTCAGTACCACGAAGACCTGGCCGATCTACGAGCAAAAAAGTATTTTGTCTGAGAAAAAAAATCATAAAAAAGACGTTAGAAGAAGACCTGAATGGTTACTGGCTTGTCTACTATATCCTGATTTAAGAGAGAGGCAAATGAAAATAAATACAGAAAATTAAGATTTATGAGAAGTAAGCAAGGAATTTACTGTCAAAAAATGTGATCAAAGTTAATTTCACAATAAACACTGTCACCCTAACTCAGATGGTCTTGTTTTCTTGCTCCTCAGAAATGATTATGACTGCCAGCACACAATAAATCCAATATTTTTTCAAGATCAAGACATTTTTCAGCATATACATGACAGTGCTTTCAATAACCATTTAATCAATAGTTCTAAATTTTAATATTAAAGGCACCAACAATTGCACATTTTATAATGGAGTTTAGCTTATTTTAAAATTAATGTGTTGCAATAAAATACAACACATTTAACAAGCTGCACAAGAAAAATATTTTTTTTAAACACTCTTGTTTTAGAGTTTCTTATATGATAAGCAATGAAAAGCTGGAGTCAGCTGCATACATACCTGTGATGAGGGCTAAAGTAACATGCCTTCCCTTCAGAAGTTTCTTAGCACTTTGTTTGTTTCACCCTCTACTGCCTTATATAACTATTGTATGTACAGTAGTTATTGAAAGCTCTGCATTAGAAATACTGCACTAAAAAATAGACTAAGCCAGTTTCCACACCAGGGCTTCCTGATATACACACAGGCTAGAACTAATTAGAATCACTTTTATAGTATATGCCAATAGTTTCATTAGTTCTATAATCGCATGAATCGGAAATTGCGTAATTAACAAATTTTGATTCAACATTTAAGTTTGAATTGCTACAGGTGAGAACAAGCAATACCCTCTAGTCCTGAGTGCATCTTTTTGCCTTAAAAGAAATGGTCCTTACACAGAGATACTCCAAGAGACGATGGTGATAACTTAAAATCTGACACAAATAAAGATTTGTGCCAGGATTCCAGTGCTCAGCTAAGACATTCTTCATACTAAAGCAACTTAATAGTGCAAAATATTTAAACACAAGATTTATTAATTCTTACTTATTTTAAATTTAATATAGCATGTCACACAAATTTCTACTTTAATCAAAATTATATATCTGAGTCAAAAGAAGATAGTCAGCTTGAGAGTAAAATGACAAAGGCAAGCAGGTGTAGGTCTCCAGCATGCGTAAAGACCAACACTTGCTCCAGACATGAGCATCTCATCATCTAGAAGCATTTTCATTAATAATAACATTAACCATATTTGTTTTTTTAAATTTATTGTAGATAAATATAGTAATCAGAAAACAAATTCACAAATGACTGAAATGTTAAACAAAATTTTACTATGCTTCTTGGTGATTCAAAAGTTGTCTTTTGCAAATCAATATGTCACACAAGGCTCACTGCAGTTAGTACACAGACACTGCTAATCATTAAATAAGCTGAAGCATGTCTTAGATAAAGAAAAAGAAGGAAAGTCAAAGACACCATACAACAAATACAGTTCTCTAGTCACTGTGTCAATTTCACTCATCTCAATGTCTATGCAGAGAGATTATGACCTACAAGAAGAATTTGTACGGGTATCTGAATTTAACAAAAAAAAAAAAAAACTTCAACACAGCATACATACAGTTGAGCTTAGCATCACAAATGATCTGGTCTCATCTGTCCTGTGTACAATCATAGTAAAAACTCTTATAAAATGGCAATAAAACTAACAAAATATTGAAAAATACTTCAGCCCAAAGCAGATTTTAGCAAAATGGAAACTCTACTGTAAAGGTATATTTATAAAAATTTTAGTGAGTAAACACGTGCTATTTTGAGATTTTAAGAACCAGTTCTTAGGGCTACAATATCACCAATGACTACTTTATCTTTTGGCAACTATGACAAATGTCATGGAAAATTTTCAAGTAATCTTGTATGATTTAAGAAAGTATCAAAATTCTGTTACAAAATAAGTATAAAACCAGCATTGAATGTAATGAAATGCCAGTTTCTGGGTAAACCCCAGAGGCTATCTTACTGAAGCTATCTTACTGATCAAGTGCCATACTACTAGAGTGTCATCAGTTGCAGAGTTCTTTGTTGCCTACCAGGAACCAGATCCAGAACTTGGTCCCATCAGAGAGGTGCGAGGAGAAATGGCCTATGAACACTTTACATTTAAAGCATATCATACTTGACATTGACCAGGGAAGACACCCAGAAAGGTATGCAAAGCAAAACAGACCACTGCCTGGTTGAAAATTGTGACCTACATCTTCAAAAGAGCAAAAGAACTCCCCCAGAAAGCAAACAAAACAAACAAGCAAAACTTCATCCAACTAACGCACGCTTGTTAGCATGCAGGGAAAAGGGGAAGCTCCCAGTCCACCCCTAGTTAGTTCTTTGAATGATGAAAACCACCGACCTGAGGAAGGGAGGGAGGGTGTCAGGGAGCCTCCAGGGCTCACCCAGAAACAGGCGTTTCATTATATTCAACTCTGGTTTTCTGTGGGGAGTCCCGTCGGCTCCCTGAACCTATCTATCCACAGAAAAGGTAAAACAGGGACTAACCAGGGAGATGGCAGCACCGCAGGTCTCAATCGGAAGAGGAGATAGTAGGCTGCGATAGATAGCCCAAAGCCACATAAGGCTGCAGAGGGCCCAGGACGTTCACAAAATACCTGGCAGTCAGAACCCTGTTGGACCTTCAAGACCTCTGTGCCCGAATATCATCCCAAGACATATTCACACACACATTTTTTTTTTTTTTTTTTTTTTTTTTTTTTTTTTTTTTTTTTTTTTTTTTTTTTTTTTCAACACTGTTTGTCAACCTATTGTATTTGTGCTGCTTTTTCAGTCATGTTCCCTTTTTTTTTTTATCTTTATTTGTAGTTGTTCTCAACACTTTTTATTCTTTATGCTCAATTAGTATTAAGTTCTAGATATTAATGTTTTTCTTGCCCGAAACGCATTGCGTAATAGTGGCTTTAGGCATTGTATGTACTAGCTCTATCTATATATCAATCCATTAATATAACATCACTTGTATGTATGTATGTACCTTACCTGAATAAACATATTTATTAATTTATTTATTTACATACACACACACACACACACACACACACACACACAAGATTGTCATGCCCTTCAAGAAGACCTGGACAAAATAAGTATATGGAGCACCACTTGGCAAATGGAATTTAATGTTAATAAATGTCATGTTATAGAATGTGGAATAGGAGAACATAGACCCCACACAACCTATATATTATGTGAGAAATCTTTAAAGAATTCTGATAAAGAAAGAGATCTAGGAGTGGTTCTAGATAGAAAACTATCACCTGAGGACCACATAAAGAATATTGTGCAAGGAGCCTATGCAATGTTTTCTAACTTCAGAATTGCATTTAAATACATGGATGGCGATATACTAAAGAAATTGTTCATGACTTTTGTTAGGCCAAAGCTAGAATATGCAGCTGTTGTGTGGTGCCTATATCTTAAGAAGCACATCAACAAACTGGAAAAGGTGCAAAGACATGCTACTAAGTGGCTCCCAGAACTGAAGGGCAAGAGCTACGAGGAGAGGTTAGAAGCATTAAATATGCCAAAACTAGAAGACAGAAGAAAAAGAGGTGATATGATCACTACGTACAAAATAGTAACAGGAATTGATAAAATCGACAGGGAAGACTTCCTGAGACCTGGAACTTCAAGAACAAGAGGTCATAGATTTAAACTAGCTAAACACAGATGCCGAAGAAATATAAGAAAATTCACCTTCGCAAATAGAGTGGTAGACGGTTGGAACAAGTTAAGTGAGAAGGTGGTGGAGGCCAAGACCGTCAGTAGTTTCAAAGCGTTATATGACAAAGAGTGCTGGGAAGACGGGACACCACGAGCGTAGCTCTCATCCTGTAACTACACTTAGGTAATTACACACACACACACACACACACACACACACACACACACACACACACACACACACACATGGATCATCATGGATGAAAAATTTTCTGACTGATAGAAAAATGAGAACAGTAATCAGAGGCAATGTATCGGAATGGAGAAATGTCACAAGTGGAGTACCACAGGGTTCAGTTCTTGCACCAGTGATGTTTATTGTATACATAAATGATCTACCAGTTGGTATACAGAATTATATGAACATGTTTGCTGATGATGCTAAGATAATAGGAAGGATAAGAAATTTAGATGATTGTCATGCCCTTCAAGAAGACCTGGACAAAATAAGTAGATGGAGCACCACTTGGCAAATGGAATTTAATGTTAATAATGTCATGTTATGGAATGTGGAATAGGAGAACATTGACCCCACACAACCTATATATTATGTGAGAAATCTTTAAAGAATTCTGATAAAGAAAGAGATCTAGGGGTGGTTCTAGATAGAAAACTATCACCTGAGGACCACATAAAGAATATTGTGCAAGGAACCTATGCTATGCTTTCTAACTTCAGAATTGCATTTAAATACATGGATGGCGATATACTAAAGAAATTGTTCATGACTTTTGTTAGGCCAAAGCTAGAATATGCAGCTGTTGTGTGGTGCCCAATTCTTAAGAAGCACATCAACAAACTGGAAAAGGTGCAAAGACATGCTACTAAGTGGCTCCCAGAACTGAAGGGTAAGAGCTACGAGGAGAGGTTAGAAGTATTAAACATGCCAAAACGAGAAGACAGAAGAAAAAGAGGTGATATGATCACTACATACAAAATAGTAACAGGAATTGATAAAATCGACAGGGAAAATTTCCTGAGACCTGGCACTTCAAGAACAAGAGGTCATAGATTTAAACTAGCTAAACACAGATGCCGAAAAAATATAAGAAAATTCACCTTCGCAAATAGAGTGGTAGACGGTTGGAACAAGTTAAGTGAGAAGGTGGTGGAGGCCAAGACCGTCAGTAGTTTCAAAGCGTTATATGACAAAGAGTGCTGGGAAGACGGGACACCACGAGCGTAGCTCTCATCCTGTAACTACACTTAGGTAATTACACTTAGGTAATTACACCCCCAAGGGTGAAGACAACCACAAGCTAGGAAGTCCTCTAATGGGGAAGTGATTTCCGAATGCCCCAGGGAAGATAACCCTGACCAGGCAAGGGCAGCACTTACTGAACATCTAAGGAAGGTGGCCCTAGATGCATGCTGATCTTGTACTGGAAAAACTACT